CATTCCACTTAATTATGAATGAGGTCATAAAAAATCCTCGTCATTGCTCGTTGATATGTTGCACCAGCATTCTTCAATCCGAAAGGCATTACTACATCAATAAACTCCAACTGGTGTTCAAAAAGTTGTAAGTCTTTAATCTTCTGGAGCCATTTTTATTTGATTATACCCAGACAATCCATCCATGAAAGAGAAAATTTCATGAGATGATGCAATATCCACCATCATTTCTGGGATTAGAAGAGGAAACTCATCTTTTGGGCATGCTTTATTAAAATCTCTAGTCCACAAAGAAACAAATTTGCCCATTTTTCTTCGTAACGGGTACTATACTAGCCAACCACGTAGGGTATTATTCTTCCTATATGAATTTAGCGTCTATTAATTTCTTGACTTCATTTATAACTTGTTGTTCAATATCAAGACGCATTCTTCTTGATGCATGCTTAACTTGGATAGCGGTAGGATCTATGCCCAGTTTGTGTACTGCAACTTCTGGCACCAATCCGGGCATTTCCTCATAACTCCAAGCAAAACAATCTTTGAACTATGTCAACAACTTAATCATATTTATAGATCCTTCTTCACCAAGCATATAGCTAATAAAAATTGGCCTCGGTCCCTTGTCGTTACCTAGGTTAATTTCTTGTAACTCATATATTGTTGATTTAATATCTTCTTCGTATTCTGGTGGGGCATCCTCAATTGTAAAATATTTATAGTTGTTCAAAACTTCCAAACAATCTTCTTCATGTTCATTAATAACAACTAAGCAGAATTCCGTATCATCAACAGGCCCTACCCCGTCGAATCCAAGGCCTTGTTTGGAATTAAAGGCTTGATTATCATTATTCCAAAGTTTCTCAAAATATCATAATTGACTCATTGACCATTTCTTAGGTACCAGACCGTGCTGATCAAGATTTTGAACACAAGGCGAGTACCAATCAACAGGTAATTCCATTAACTCTGAAGAAAGCTCATATTCTAGTTTCCTAGTTCTACATTGATTTCAGAACTAGAGGATGAAGAACCACGATGAAACTTAATTGCTTTCATACCTACACTATGTACTTCTTTGACCATCTGACCCTCAATTTTATGAGTAAAAATTGGGGTGAGGGACATAGTTTGTACATAGCGATTAATCCGATCTTACATTGAACCATAATCATGTTTCTCTTCGTCTTCTAAATCAATTTCGAAAAAGAGGTTTCTTCTGGTTAATTGTTGTTGCTCTTTTCCTTATCTTCAGAACTATCTTCCAAACCAATGTTGATGATTGAATTCTTTGGTTCAACAATTTTATTGTTCCTTCCTCGACCTCATCCCCGGCCTCGACCTCGGATACGAGTTTTAGAGGAACTCTCACCCTCTTGTTGTAAAGGGGTAATAAAAGGTTGTTGAATCAGTATCGAATGATCTTGTCTTTGTATATCTTCTGGACCCTTAACGTTTCTTGCAATATCACTTTGAAGCGTAACATTCTGTTTCAGAGGAGTATAGTAATTGGCATCTTCATGAATGCCTATTTCATGAATCAAAAATGGCTGTAGATCTCCCTTTATACAATATTCTTGTCCTTCCAAACAATACTTTATGCATTGGTGTAGTGACAAAGGAACTAAATTGTTCTCATGAATCCAGGGTCGGCCCAAGAGAGCATTGAACAAAATCTCATAATCAATGATTTGGAATTTTGCAGTTGTTACTAATTGTCCAATTTTCATCAGTAATGTAATTGATCCAAGAGCTCTTTCCCCTTTCTGGTTAAAGCCTCTTAACATCATCTTATCAGCAGTCAATTGTCTTGCGTCTATGTCCAAATACGCCAAAGTCTGTAAACTCATTATATTAATGGATTTCACTGGATCCACTAATCCTCTGGAGAGCATGAAGTTGCCGATGTTGACAGAAATATACAACGGACGATTATGATCAGCGGTCCCAAGTAGCAAATCATCATTTGTGAATGTTATTTTTGCTTTTTCTCTTAATGAACAAACCTCATCTGAGGAAGTACTAGCAAGAGCTTCTCTCATTTCCTTTGATAGGATTAAGGCATCGTATATACTCAACTTAGCAGGTAATTTCCTAAGATGGGCTAGTACATCATAGTCCATTTTAATTCTTGCTTCCTCATCTCCATTTCGGATAGGTGTTTCATCGATCAGTGGGACTGGATTATCCTGAATAATTGTTTGTTTCATTGCATCCTTTGGACCCATTCTTGGAGGTAATACTTTTCCACTTCTCAAATTTATTTCTGTCACCTCTTTTGAATATAATGACTTGATTCTGAAACTGCCTCTACATGAGCTGGAGTAACTAATTCCTCTAGGATTCCTTCTGAATCCGAAGACTCCAACTTTATTGCAATCGGCGATCCATGAAATTCAAAAATGGGCGCATCTTCTTCTGAATCATAACTATTATCATCAATATTTCCTCCTGGCTTACCATCACATGTGTTAGAACTCTGTAAAATTTGAGAATCATCAGAAAGATTGAGATTGGTGTTGGGATTATGTGAGACATCCCCAATTATACCATCAACAGAAACAGTCAGAACGTAGCCAAAGTCAAATTCCATAGTATTACGTGCCCCTGGTGGAGCAAAGAAGAAATCATACAAAGACAGTGGTTTGAGAGATTTATCTCCCAAATCCGTAGTAACTAATCTCGGATGATCGAGTTTCATTTAACATTTCGGCTTTTCGATGGGTTCTTCAGTCTTGTTTGAATCTTCTTCTACCGAAATCGACAATACTGGCTTAACAGGTTCTCAATCTTGAATTGCAGCTTTTATTGAAGTATTCTGAATTTGATTCAGTATTTTCTTTGAAGACTTTGTCCAAACTGTATTCCACCCATCTTCGACTGCGTAAGGATCGATCGAAACAGTGGGATCAACTGAAACTGTATTGATTGAACCTTGTCCATGTTCTTTCAAATACTCTTTCGAGATCGTTATGTTCCCGTCCCTGAGATTATATTG